AGTCGATGACTGCTGCGTTTTTTTCTCCGGAAATTGCCGAGCAGGTCCCGAGCGCCATTCTTGTCGGCTTCGGCAAGTTCCGGAAATTGCCGAAGCGAGTCGAATGGGCTTGCAATCCCCTTTCGGCTTTTTCCGGCGACTGTCGAAGCGGATAAGCTCGACGACGACGGCTCCTTCGGCTCATTTCGGAGACAGCCATTACTAACGGAGTTGATGACTTTTTATTACGTGATAAAAACACGTAGGGGCGTTATACAGAACTGCTGCCCCTTTGGAGATATTTAAGCTCCAGATTCAAGCCTTTTTTTTTTTTTTAAAAAAAAAAAAAAACCTCGGAAGCGAGCCTGGGCTGGAGAAGGAGGGCGCTAGCATTACGTGGAGCTGAATTTCAAATTACGTAACAGTTAAGGCAGCCATTACTAACCAGTTGTACGGTACTCTCAAGCGGGAACACGTAAACCATGAAGAATATGGTACGTGGAAAGGGCGAATCCAGGGTTTGCTTTTAAGGAGGGTGGCACGTTTGGTTATGCGTACGGAGCGAATTTTTCCGGGTCTGGGCGTTACGAGTGGGCTTGAGCCCCTGTCAGCGCAGGTCTGGGTGCCGCTGCTGCCATTACTAACCAGTTGTACGGTACTCTCAAGCGGGAACACGTAAACCATGAAGAATATGGTACGTGGAAAGGGCGAATCCAGGGTTTGCTTTTAAGGAGGGTGGCACGTTTGGTTATGCGTACGGAGCGAATTTTTCCGGGTCTGGGCGTTACGAGTGGGCTTGAGCCCCTGTCAGCGCAGGTCTGGGTGCCGCTGCTGGCTCCCGGTCGGGTGCGCCGCGGGCTGGGGGGGCTGGGTGGCTTTCCGCAGAGGAAGCGTTAGCGGGGAGGAAGGTTCTGGAAGCGGCGGTTGGGGCTGGTGCGCAGCCGAGAGAGGAGGCGGAAGCTGCGGTAACCGTGCATGGCGGGTGGCGAGTTCTTAAATCACGTACCCGTTAGCCGAGCGGCCGTTAAGGTGGCGCTGGAGGGGGACGCACGGAGGCTATGGAGGTCAGTCAGTGCGCGATCCGGGGAGTCGCCTTTGCCCTGCAAGGTGCCGACCGGCCGGGGTGGCGCTGCTAGTAATGGCGGTGCCGAAGGGGAGGGGTAAAATGGCGGCGCCGAGACTCGCTTGTGCGTGAGGCGGTGAGGATCAATCCGAAGATGAGAAAGCGGGTGAGGCGGGAGGGCAGCAGGGGCTGCCAGCTGGGCAGGCGGCTGTAGTCGCCTGGTATCTGCGGGGGCAGAAAACAGCGCCTGCAAGCTCTTCCTGGCGCCGTATGTGTAGGTGCACGCTAGAAGCGATTTGCAACACTTGGGTTTCTGTTTCGTCCGAGGACCCGCGTGTTATTTAATGTTTTGGTTGTCTTTTTAATCTGGGGTCGGTGCTTCCAGAAGTTCTTCCCTTCCCGTCGCATCGCTGTCCCTGGAGGCGACGGCTGCTTCTGGGCGCCATTTTCCCCTTCTAGCTGCGGGGGCCCCTGTTTTCCTGATATCCGCCACATGGCGGAGCCGGCACGGTAACCGCCTCACTCCTGATAACATCGGGCGGCGGGGGAAGGGGGAGAACCAGGCTGTCGGATTGCAAAGCCCTGTGGAACGTACAGGGGCTAACGGGGCTCGGGAGGGAGGGAGAGCAGTGTCTTCCTAGTTTGGGACCAGTAAACCCAGCTTTGCTTTTGGCAGGCCTAGCCATAGTAGTTCAGAGACCCCGCTCACTTGTCTCCGTTAGCCATTTTTGTTACTCGGGTTCTTAACTCTGCAGAAGTCTGCGGTCAGCTTGGAGTATTTGTGCACACATTATTGCTACATGAAACACATTTTCTTGCTCTGATGGTGAATTTTCCGGCAAAGGCTACGCATTTTCCAGTCCTTTGAAGTGTTGTTTTAAGCCTGTGAAGGAAGGCTTAAAATAAGCACTAATAAAGATTCTACAGGGTTCATACAGATTTTCTCTAGCACTCCATTCCTACCACAGAGTGTACAATGGAAATCTTAAAGGCTGAAAGAAAAACCCCTTTCATGTTGTGGGCCTTGGCAGCGTGGGTTGTTTGTGTGGGGAGGTTGTTTTTACCAAATGAGGATTTTCATCAAGACTCTGAGAGGGACTGGAGCTTTGCATTTTACAGCTTCAGCATAAACTTCAGATGGTCAGAGCTTTCTGGACCCTGGTGAGAGGTTAATGCTAGACTAACCAGAGCTTCGTAAAACTGACACATTTAAAACAAATAGCCTCTCTACATTCTGAGGCTGTGCATGTGTTAGTGGAACGACATGTTTATGATAGTTTCACACAGTGGTTTTAACTGAAGAACTGGCAGTGAATTTTGTTATTGCTGTGTCCTGACGTGTGGTGCCTAGATGTTGTTCTGGGTGGGGCATGTACTGCATGACACTTAATACATGGCGGATTACAGTTCCTCAGAATTTGTACATCTGCAGAGTGTGTTACTGTTCTGTTTAATATTAAATTAGTAATGTGTGGTATACGTTGTCCTTTAAAAAAACAAATGCAGTTGTTACAGCTGATGGATTCCATTCTTTCCTTGATTTTCATTTATGTGTTTATAACTTTTCAAAGGTCTAAATTTGCTCGATTCTCATATTTCCATAAGAATATAAACATGCATTGTTAGACACATGACAGTCGATTATATAGGAAAAAGAGTCTTTTGTGGGCCTATGAAACTGTAGCAAGTAGTCCCTAATTTTCAAGCAGCAGAACTGAAGTAATTTGAAGGGAGGATTTTCTTCTGCAGTAGCATTGCTTAAAATGATTTCTCTGCTAGCCTACTCAGATTATGAATGATAGTATGACTTGCAGCATATGAGTTTTTGCATAGCATCCGTTCCTTTATTTAAGAGATGAGGTGAAATAACATGGGTTTGCTGCTTTTAAACTCTTGTGTCTAATTTTGCATGTCTGTACAAGGAGGAGACAGTACTAGCTTCCTCTGTGTTTCTTAGAAGAAAAAATCATAGTGCAACAGCAAATCCAAGTTTAAGAGACATTTTGTTCTCAAATAACAGTATTTACTTGGGGGGGGGGTATTTTTCTAATGGTTGACTTCCTTGTCAGACTGCAGTATCTCAAGCTGGTAATTGGGTGATGTATTTTGAACAAAAACTGATTTGGTACTACCTACAGTAATTGCCTTCCTGTTCCATGCATCTAGATCCAGGCTTGCCTTGGATGACCTCAGAAAACATGTTGGTCTACATGCAGATTGGCTTAATAGTTCTAAAAGCATTTGTGCACTGAACTGTTTTGCTTATTTTCCAAACCTCATTGTTTCTCATTGGTCGTCTAATTTCCTTTTTATATTTATCTTAATGTGTGTGCAGTGCATAGTTGGTTGGGTTGTGTTTCTCAGTTATAGATAACTAGGCAGTGTTTGGGTTGTTTAAATTACCCTAAAGAAAACACAATACCAAACACCCAAGCAGATCTTCTTGATTTTTAAAATTAGTTAACAGTATACGGCTGAAGTAATCATTGCATTTGAGTTCTCTTGTCCCTAGCAGGACAATTCTATTTCAAACAACATTGTGAAATCTTAAATTTTGTGGAAGACGACTACTTTTCAACCTCTACCATTTAAAATGGATGAAAAGGTTGTCCTTCCTGCTTTGGTATAATACCACATACAAAATAGTAAATGTAATACCTCATTATTGGTCCTGGGTTTTTTTTAATTATGTACTTGTAATCACAGCAGAAATTTCTGCTGAACAAGCACAGTGATAATATCTCTGAAAGGTAATAGAACAAAGTCTTACTGAAAGCGTAATTTGTATTAGTGGGTACATAGGCGAATGTGTACTACTCATTTCTGTTTTAAGGGGAATCCACTTGGTTTTGATACTGTTGCTGTTGAGGGTGGATATGTTTACCGTTAATTCCAATGGTGCAGTATCATCTTTAGCCATATCTTTTGTTTTTATTTTCAATGCTTTGGGTAAATAGCATGATAGTATTCATGTACAACAATTGGAGCCAAAATGCTTTTTAGAAACAAATGCCATCTGGAATAGAGTCAGACACTGTGAATGAATTCATGTTATCTGTAATAAGAACTTTGGGGTTTTATTTTCCTTTTCTTTAAAAAGCATCTCCTAAAGATCTTTGAGAGGACTATTCTGGAAGCCTTTGAGTATGGTCCCTTGCTCTTAATATTTGGAGGGAGAGATGGGAAGAGGCACATTATTGAAATCTGTATCGTAAAAGTGGACCCATAGGATTGCATAAATTGCTTGATTTCTTGAATACTGGTGTAACATTTAGAAGAGCCAAGCCTAATTTTGAAAAATGCGTCTTACTGAAAGTTTTTGACACTTAAGAAAATCTTACTTAGTGTATAATTATGCTGATGCTGAGGGGGTATTATTAATTATATTAATGTAATCTTTTTTTCTGTGATAGAGGGAAAAGGAGCAGTTCCGCAAACTGTTTATTGGTGGCTTAAGCTTTGAAACGACTGAGGAAAGCCTGAGGAGTTACTATGAGCAATGGGGGAAACTTACAGACTGTGTGGTAAGTTTGGCATACTAATGTGCAATGATGGCATAGAATGTTTAGAAATTGTAAAAGTGGGGAGTTTGTTTTCTGGATAGCTTAATGAAAAGATGGAATACTAAATTTTCTTAAGTGTAATTTGGTTAGTTTATACATAATTCAGTCCGTTGAAGCTATGCACAGCCTTTCCCGTGCAAACGCTGTTGATAGAGTTAGCAGCATTTCCGAGTTATGGGTAGAGTCTTGGAGGACAACAATGGTTTGAATTTCTGTGATGCCAAGCAGTGCTGTTCATGTACTTAATCAGCATAGCCTGCTACTTTATTATAATTGTGTTTTGAAATCAAATCAAGGAAAACTTAAATCAGGTTTACATGTTTTCTCCAAATGTTATTAGTGTTAAGCTTAACATGAGACAGGTAGAAATGCTTTAAACATGTTTATTATTTTTAGGTAATGAGGGATCCTGCAAGCAAAAGGTCAAGGGGGTTTGGTTTTGTAACATTCTCCTCCATGGCTGAAGTTGATGCAGCCATGGCTGCACGACCTCACACGATTGATGGAAGGGTGGTTGAGCCTAAGAGAGCTGTGGCTAGAGAGGTAAGTAGGGCTTGAAAGCAGGTATTTTCATGCTTTGAAAAAGGAATCTCTGTTTTGGTTAGACAGTTATGCTCTGTTCTTGTTTGAAATTGCCTGAGTTTAAATTCTCTAGTTAAAAGGCCATAGTTGGGGCACTGTTTCCCACACTTCTAGTTATTACAGTGAATTATTAAGTTATTTGGTTGTAGAATTGTGTCTGCAAGGGACGCAACCGGGGTCTGAAAGTCTTGTTAGTGAAAACATGTTGAATGCCTGTAATTATGCAAATTCCAAACCAGCTCTTCTTTGGAGTGGTTACTGTTACTAAACCTCAAATTAATAAACTCCTGTCAATCTCTCCTGACTATTCCAAGATCTTTTGGGGTATTTCTAAACAGTATATAACTGACATGACTAAAAATAGGGAACGTAGTAGGGAAACACTTTTTTCCAGTGGTGGTGTACAAAATCATCTTGGGACAACTGTGGTTTTAGCCCCAGGGATATTTGGTTTTAAACTTCAGGGTACAAATTACATATGTGCACAGGAATGCAGTGCACCTGTAAACTTTTCGGCCACGTTATTGTGGCACAGAGGTATTTGAGGAGTGTCGTGGTTTAACTCGGCAGGCAGCTAAAAACCACACAGCCATTCCCTCACTGCATTCACAGTGGAGTGGGGGAGAGAATCGGGGGAAAAAAGTAAATTTCATGGGTTGAGATAAAGAGAGTTAATAGGACAGCAAAGGAAGGGGAAATAATAATGATAATGATAAAAGAATATACAAAATCTGTGATGCACAGTGTGATTGCACACCACCTGCTGACTGATGCCCAACCACTGCCTGAGCAGCGGTCGCTGCCCCCTCGGCCAACTCCCCCTGGTTTATATACTAAGCATGATGTCATATGGTATGGAATAACCCTTGGCCAGTTTGGATCAGCTGTCCTGGCTGTGCCCCGCTCCCAGCTTCTGCTGGCAGGGCATGAGAAGCTGAAAAAGTGCTTGACTAGTGTAAGCACTACTGAGCAACAACTAAAACGTCAGTGTGTTGTCAACATTATTCTCATCCTAAATCCAGAACACAGCACTATGCCAGCTACTAGGAAGAAAATTAACTCTGTCCTGTTCAAGGAGCAAGTGCATATTCTAGGTGACTTCTGTTTACCACATTGTGGGAGCTCTGGGAGGGTTTGCCAGTTTAACGTTGGACCTAGGTGTTTAATACATTTGGACTGATGAACCGGAATTGAACAAGCTGTTCCAGATGTCAGGGGAAATGGAAGTCGTAACCACTGGTACCCCTGGTAGCTATCCCAGTTTTCTTTCCATTCCCTGCAGAATGCAGGGTTGGTTAGCATTTAGAAAAAGGTAATTAAAGCAGCATATGTGTGTACTGCTTATACACACAAAGTTATTGCTAAGCTTTAGGAATAAGTCATTCCTACCTAGTGCAGCAGGTTGGATATCGTGCTCAAAGTGTAAAAATAACCCAATAATGTGAGGAGTTGCTTTCATATTTTGAGGAGGAGTTAAAATGCATAGCTGTGGATTTTCTGAGATTGAAGGACCTTTGCTGTTGATGTGAGTGGAATGTGGGTTTCACTGCCATTGGGGAAATGGGCAGAGGAAGCTGACGCATCTTTGTTTCAATTGTAAAAATTGTGCTCTCGTTTATTTACTTGTATGCATTTCATAGCACTTTTATGTGTATCTTTTTCAGTGCTTTTAAGGTTTTGACATAAAGGGGGAAGGAAAAACCTCCAAATTACCTCATGTTGCTTCCCCTCCAGAAGGACCCCCACGCAAGGTTGCAGGGACATGCATTGTAAGAGGGCTACCTCAGTGCTTGAAAAATCTTAGTTTATCAGTATTCTATTCCTGAAATCCTGGCAAAATAGTTATTTGTGAAATTGTTTTTCTTTGTGGTGATTTAAAGGATTCTTTTAACAGGAGTCTGGAAAACCTGGTGCTCATGTTACTGTGAAAAAACTATTTGTTGGTGGTATTAAAGAGGACACTGAAGAGCACCACCTTCGTGACTACTTTGAGGAATATGGAAAAATCGACACTATTGAAATCATTACTGACAGACAGTCTGGTAAAAAGAGAGGGTTTGGATTTGTTACATTTGATGACCATGATCCTGTGGATAAAATTGTATGTAAGTAAGCTTCATTTCACTCTTTTGTTTGCTAGTATTAATCCTTGCAGTCATGGTAATGATATAAAGCTAAACTTAAACTAAAGAGATAACGGGATTAGTTATGTGCATGAATATTTGCTACGTCGTAGTTTTGGTGAATTGTGTCAGAACATGTATTTTGTGTCGGAACCAGAAACACTGGTTTCTTTGCTTAAAAATTGTATGGTGTTTTGGGTTTTTTAAATGATATGGTTGGAAGCCTGATACTCTTATTTGTTGCCAGATCAGTACTTAAATGCTGATGGGTATCTTATTTGATGTGGTTACAGTGCAGAAGTATCACACCATCAATGGCCATAATGCAGAAGTAAGGAAAGCTCTCTCTAGACAGGAAATGCAGGAAGTTCAAAATTCCAGAAGTGGGAGAGGAGGTACGTACGAGTAATGGTTCATGCTTTGTGGTTGATTTTTTTTGTGTTCACTTTCCATGATCTTGCCACTTACAAATGTTAAACTGTTACAGGGAACTTTGGGTTTGGTGATGCACGTGGAGGTGGTGGCAACTTTGGTCCAGGACCTGGCAGCAATTTCAGAGGGGGAGCCGGTAAGACAGGCATGTTTGTAGCATTTTTTTTTTTTCCCCCCCTTATTTATACTGTCTGTCTGGTTCTGGATAACTTTGTAAGCTACTACTGTTTAAATTAAATGTAGAGAACTTTTGGGAAGAATAACTTCCAGATCTTCTCTGTAGTACACAGATTGATCATGTTGGATAGTCAGTAAAATGAATTTTTTTTTCTTTTTCCCCTAAAGGAGTTTCTTAAAAGCCAAAATTAACCTAAACTTAATAATTTTGTTGAGGAATTCAGAGATTCTGCTCTGTAATTCTATGCAACGCTTGTCTGACCTTTACGGTGGAAGGGTTGTGTCCAAATTAAAAACTGGGTACCTTACAAATGCAAGAAAATAGAAGATGCAGAGCAATGATTGGATGTGTTATTTCACATATATATTTTTTCTAAATTCAAGTGTACTTGTCCTTAATCAGTAGTCTGAGATTTAGTCCTTAAGGTCATAGGGGTTTGAGAATTCAGTTAGTTTGCTGCAGGTGAATTGAAATACTTCGTCTTTTTTCTCCAACAGATGGATATGGAAGTGGCCGTGGATTTGGTGATGGGTATAACGGATATGGTGGAGGACCTGGAGGTTAGTATACTTTTTTTTTGTGGTGGTTGTTCATCTCTCATTCAGAAATACTTTTACATTCACTTGCCATTTGTAATTGCCAAAGCCATTTTGTTGGCTTTTAGAAGTACACACGGCTGTTGGCTCATGTTAAACTTTTATATGGTTATTTCTTGTGGTGAACTGTATGGTTATTTCTTAGACAACCATGCCCTTTTCTTTTCATTAGAATAGCAGTGTTTCCTAAATTTCCTGAAAATGAAGATTTTAATTAAGCCTTTTAATTGAGGCTTTTAGGCAGTCTGACTGGTGGGTTTTGGTCACAATTCAGTTAGTGTGGGAGTTGGTATATGCCTTTAAAAATAGCGTTCATAGAAATTTCTTTACGAAACTCCTACCCTATTCTTCCCCTGTAGACTTCTAAACAGGAAAATATCCTCTGATTCTGTAGAATTTGGTTGCCTTCTACACTGAAAAGTTTATTTTAAAGGGTTATATTGTCATAGGTGGCAACTTTGGAGGCAGTCCTGGTTACGGAGGAGGAAGAGGAGGATATGGCGGAGGAGGACCTGGATATGGCAACCAGGGTGGAGGCTATGGAGGTGGTTATGACAACTATGGAGGAGGTAATCTACTGGCTTGAAATAACCACACGTTTCGGTTGTAAATTAGTGCAAGTCATTTGAGATTGGGGGGGGGGGTGGTGCGTGTAAATGTTGTCTAAGGAAGCTCCTGTTTTCCAAATAGTATGAAAAAGCAGTTTGTTGCATACACTGCTGCTGGAATACCTGTGTGATTTTGTACTTTAAAATTCTAATAATCAGATAACTTTGTGGATGCTGTATGTACTCTAGCTCATCTAGGTATTTCTCCACTTTTGTATTGATAATGCAGGCAATTACGGAAGTGGAAACTATAATGATTTTGGAAACTACAACCAACAACCTTCAAATTATGGTCCAATGAAGAGTGGAAATTTTGGTGGCAGCAGGAACATGGGGGGACCATATGGTGGAGGTATTGTATATGTCCTGACCTGCCTTGGAGCCAAACAGAGTGGGTGGGCTTCAGTCTTTTGGGGAGGTGGAAGGGAAGATAGGACAAGGGGTAACTGTTTTGAACTAAACCAGGGTAGATTAGGATTAGATATAAGAAAGAAACTCTTTATAATGAAGGTGGTGAGGCACTGGAATGGGTTGGCCAGAGAAGGTGTGGATACCCCATCCCTCAAAGAAATGTTCCAAGTTCAGGTTGGGTGGGACTTTGAGCAACCTGGTCTAGTGGAAGGTGTCCCTGCCTGTGGCAGGAGGGTTGGAACTAGGTGACCTTTGAAGGTGCCTTCCAGCCCAAACCATTCTGTGATTCTAAGATTGATACGTAGAAATTGGGTAACTTCTGCAGTAGGTGGACTGCAGTGCCCATGCTCTTTCTGCAAGTGGGCTGCAATTTTTCGTCTTGAGACTGTAAAGCTTGTCTTGGGGAAAATTATTAGTGCTGTTTTTTAGAAAATAAATGACAAGATACTAATTTTTTCCAGAATATTATGAAATGTTGCAGTCTGTAAAGCTTTTAGCCAAGTTTCATGTTCTTTGCTTTCAGCTCACACTATTTGTAGAGTCTAGTTAACGTCCACTAAACTTGCTGGGATTTCTTTTTTTCCCCCCTCTTGTTGTAGTGTCACTTTTTTCTGACACTCTGCTTTTATTGTCTAAGTGTTATTTAATATGGCTTTTAGAGCTTGTGAAACGGAAACTGAAATACAAAGCCCTTTCTTGTAAGGTTTAGCATGCAAATAAAGTCAGCCTTCACAGGCTCAAGACAGTACAGTGCATCAGATTACATGTGACACTTGAATCTTCTAAGATTTCAGCATATTGTCTTGTGGCAGTTCTTGGAGGTTATTTAGAGGAAGGTAGCGAAATGTTAAAAATCTTTGTTGTATATGCTGTCTGTGGAAATAAAGCAGATGTTAATCCTCATATAGAATCAGAAGCATTCCTGGATTTAAAAAGTGCAGTGATGTAACTGTGCTGTTTCTTCTTTTTCTGCAATTGCAGGAAATTATGGTCCAGGGGGCAGTGGGGGAAGTGGTGGATATGGAGGGAGGAGCCGTTACTGAGTTTCTGCAAGCATGCCATGGGTAAGTATGTTTATAAGTGTTGAAATTGCAGTGATTCTTGAGAGTAGCTGCAGGAGTTAAAAGCTTTTTAGGATCATATTATCTTTCCTTTAAAAAATGGTTAGATGAATAATTTCATAACCTATTTTTTTACTCTTTACTTCTGTTGAAACAGGCTTCACTGTATAAATAGGAGAGGATGAGAGCCCAGAGGTAACAGAACAGCTTCAGGTTATCGAAATAACAATGTTAAGGAAACACTTATCTCAGTCATGCATAAATATGCAGTGATATGGCAGAAGACACCAGAGCAGATGCAGAGAGCCATTTTGTGAATGGATTTGGATTATTTAATAACATTACCTTACTGTGGAGGAAGGACTGTAAAAATGCCTTTGAGACAGTTTCTTAGCTTTTTAATTGTTGTTTCTTTCTAGTGGTCTTTGTAAGTGTAGAAGCATTCCTTTGATAATGTTAAATTTGTAAGTTTCAGGTGACATGTGAAACCTTTTTTAAGATTTTCCTCAAAGTTTTGAAAAGCTATTAGCCAGGATCATGGTGTAATAAGACATAACGTTTTCCTTTTAAAAATTTAAGTGCGTGTGTAGAGTTAAGAAGCTGTTGTACATTTATGATTTAATAAAATAATTCTAAAGGAAATATTGTGTAATTTTAGATTTTTTTTTTAATATTGTAAAATAAGGCAAGGAGTGGGTAGCATAAGGTCCCACCAATAATATAAAGCTATTGTTGTACATGTAAAATTAAATGCTGGTCAGAAAAAAGTATGTTGTCTGTAAATGATCAGGTTTAAAATACCTAGATAACTTAAGGGATATCTCTGCAAGGAGAAACACCTTTTTAGATCTTTTAGATGCTGCTTCTTCAATGGCAAGGAAAGGAAATATCCCCAGCGAGGTACTCTTCCAGGGACACAGGTCTAGTACAAGAGAACTCTTGAAAACGTCACTAAGTTCAGCCAGTCTTAAAAAGCTGCGCTGTATTTCTGCAAAGCTTTAACTACAGTAGTTGATAAGGATGCCAACGAAGGCTGAGGGTGTAGAGCAAACTAGTTCTAAGCTTCAGTTAAACTTCTTTAGGTAAGATCTTATTTACTTTTCCTTTCTTAATGTTCCAAAAACAAGAAACTAATATTGTTTGACAGTATTCTTTCAGTATAGTGATTATCGTTATGTAGTTTAACATAGCAATGAATTGAGTTAACAATTACCAATTGAAAAGAAATTTGTGAATCCTGTTTTCTTGTATTATTAAATTTTTTACAAACAAATTTTTGTTAATTTCAGCTACTTAACATATTTTTTTCCTACTGGAATCTAGCTATGATATGAACCCTGGACAAGCATAGACTGCTGCCACTGTACACTGCTACAGTTGAACAAATGAGACCTGCAAGTGTCCATTAGTAAAGCTTTGCAAGGGTTCCATCCCTGGTGTTGGTAGTTAAAATGGTAGGTCACAAGTTAATTAAATCATACAACTTTATTTTTGCATCCTGCAACATTTTATTTTTTCTTGGGAGTCTGTGCATTACAGTGGTTTCAAGGTAATGCAGTGAAGGTAGTTCTGTGCTGTTGAAAATGAACTATGTTGTTATGTGTCTTGTCTACTGTAATCTATTTTATATAACACGTTTCATCCTGAAGGTTCCCAAGTAACTGTAGACTGTTTACGTGTCAGGAAAAAAATTGCACCACAGAATACATCTGCCTCTGTGAAGGAATGTGTCGTCCATTCTTTTAACAACTGCATAAGCAGTTCTTTAGGAGGGGAAGTTGAAAACTTCAAATGAAACTGCAGGTGGTATTTCCTAAGTGTATAATGTAATTACATAAATTGGAATTTGGCTAGAATGTTGAGGTTTCCACCATTTTTTATAGTTCTTGCAGCTAATAAACCTTAGTGCCAAATTCAGTCAGCCTTACTCTCACTGCATTGAATGTTTGCACCTCAAATTAATGGAAATTCGAGTAATGAGTTATTCAGAGTAAGGGTGGCATACTCTCTCAGATTTGGTTTTTAAATAAAAATCCACAAAACCCACCAAAAAAAAAAAGGCAACCAAAAATGCCCTAATTTCAAAGTTCCATTGCCTTTAAAAGGCTACCCACTGAAGAACATGGACTTGGCTAACAAAAGTCCTGTTCCTTTTTGTGTTAGACACACCAGTGAACTGCTTATACTTTTTTTTTTTTTTTTTAAAAATGGCTGAAGTTCCCCTATTGGTAATTTGGTTTAGACATATGTGATAAACATCTTCAGATACACTTTTTTTTTCTTTGGCAGGAAGGTGCCATGCTGCAGGTAACTAATGAAGAAGTGGTCAACCACAGAAACGCTTCAAGAAATAAGAAATTCTGTATCATCAGAAAATAGTTGTTTTTGCTGCCTTCATTAAAAATCTAGAGGTTAAATGAATACTGATAAAACATCACAATTAGTACAGCTCCCTGTAATGCTGGGTTTTTTAAATTATAGTAATAATGTCTTGTAAACCTTTTGAATAAAATTCAGATTCGTTAGGAGAAACAAATCACTAATGTTAAAACAGCAAACATTCTGTGAGTAGAAAGTTTAACTACGTATTTTTATAACTTTCATAGCTTTAAAATAAAGTATTTTTTTATACCAAAGTAGTTCTAGTGTAATGCTTAATAAAACTTAGTGTGTGTCTAACATTAAATAATGTTTATGTGCAGCTTTTAGACCCTTTCATGATTTGAAACATTCCATTTTGAGGTGGATTTAAAACAAAGTCAACTTGGCAAGTGTATTCACAGAACTTGTATCTCTGACCGTAGGCATCTGTTCTCTGTTGGGAGAAACAGTGCTACAAATTAAAAATGCTGATCTTTTTGCTGTTGGACACAATTGCTTTAAAATAGCTTTTTGGCTGTGTTTTATATCACTTTATAAAAAATCTCCTCCTTTCCTGTTAATTAACTACTTGAGACAGTTTGTCAAAATGTGATAGGAAAATAGCTTTATCCTTTTCACCTGTAAAGAGCTTTTAGCATCGAGAGAAAGACTGGAATGTAGAGTTCCTGCTGTACCAGAACTGTATTACTGATAGCTGCATCTTCTGGGGGGGGAGGGAACCCCCAGAAAATAAACCCAAACCGAACTCCCAAGTGTGAGCTTGGGAAAGCTTCAGTTGGGAATGTATTTGAGGGAAGGTATCTTCAGTCTGTACTGTTCTAACCTGTTACCTACGTACATGGTTTATTCTAAACTTGAAATTTATATGCTTAGCTTTGGCAGAATCATAATGTCTTTAATCTTCTTTATATAATTCAACAATACTATTTAAGGATTCACATACGATATTTTCTGTGTTTCTTAAGTTGAACTTTGAAATATTTGTATAGGTAACCGGTGGGCTGCAATGGAAGCACAAAAAGACGACGCACAAAATCTGCTTTTCTTTCTTCTTTCCAACAGAATGAGTTGACAAGTTGATAAGGAATTCGCCTTCTTTCCTGGAGCTTAGATCTGTTTAATGGAAGTTTTTTCTTTACAGTTGCCAAGTCCACATTCATAGGACAAAAAAAAAAAAAAACAAAACCAAACCCAAAAACCACTTCACAGGGGAGTAATTCTCTCT